GTTGAAAAATGATCTCATTACTTAAAATATGTACAGAGAATTATACTTTAAATTATTGAAAATAATTGTTGAATTTTGAGTCACATTTAGATAAACTTTCTCATTTTTTTAATTGAATTCACAAACACACATAATATCATTAGTTTTTAATATAATATCAAAGTTAAATAACTAGTTTGTAAATGTTAAAAGAATTAGTTAAGTTAATTGTTTATAATAAATATGTATTAATTTTTTAAAATATTTTTTAATCCATGCATTATAACTATTCCTTCATGAAAATATTCTTATTATGTGCAATTAATAAAAATAAATTTAAAAAATATAATTTTTTTTAAAAATAAATTAAGATTACTAAATTAAATTTCTTATCTAACTCATATTTAGAATTAAAGGTAGTATTTTTGTTTCAAAGATAAACATACACAAAATTATTTATATTTATTAGTTCATTTTTCTTACTTTAGTTGCAGTATTAAATATATATATATATATATTAGATGCAAAAATATATTAAAAAAGCCTCCCACAATTTTACATTATCATTAAATTTTATTTAAACGCATATCAGATATAAATAAATATTTTAATATATAGTTATGCATCTATTATTTTGTGATGGCCAAAAAGTATTTATTATTTTTTAACTTAATTAATATAAAAATTATAAATAAATAATTCTAATATATTGTGCGTTGGTAAAATAGGTTATAGGGTTCAAGGGATGAAGGCAAAATTTTTAGGGTGATTGTCAGCGATTCAATCAAAGGGAAAGAAGGGCAATATCGGCAGTGAAAATGGGAGGAAGAGAGAGAAATTGCTAGGTATTAATTTTTGTGGGACCCACAATCTTTTCTTGCTCTGACCAGGAATGCCAGGTGAGACTGAACCTATCTGAGTTGGTTTCATTTAATTGGGCAGATCACAGATTACATGGCACTCCCAGTGCACGCAAGAATTTCTCATGTAAACGATAATTATTTCCTTCCTTAACAAATGTAGGATTTTTTTACATAATTCAAGAATATTATAAAAGGACGAAATCAGTTATTCGAAATTAATGTGTTAAAAATTTGTGATATTTTTACTTTAATATACTGACTTTGATTAATATTACCGAAATGGATGATTTTTTTCCTTTCTAATCTCCTTCAACAATTTGTTAAACGAAGACATTATGTGATGTAAAATTGATGTTCCTTAAAGTTTTCATTTGATCTCAAAAAGTGACATGTACCAAATAATTCAATACTACCTCTCATCCTAAATATAAGATCTATTTTATAATGTAAATTGCACTACAAAGTGAATTTTATATTTAAAACTTGGAATAATAATATATTTTGAAAATGTAAAAGTATACATTTTATTCTCTAATTTTATAAAAAAGTTTAGTTTTCTCTTAATTTTATAAGTACTTTTTAGTCTTTTAATTCTAACGTTATTAGCTCTAAATAATATTTTATGCTCATTATTATTATTTTAAAAAGTAAACTTAATGTGCTAGAGAGTAAAAATATTTTGTTAACATTTAAAAGTTTAACCTTAGACATTTTTTTAGGTATAATTTAGGGTATCTTCAAGTTACTTTAGATGACCTCAGACATTTTTGTTTGCTAAACTACGGTATTTGTTGGTCTTGATTCAAAACTCATTCCGTTTCCATTGTTTTCCCTTCCCTAGCACTTTATTTTGTTGTATGCGATCTTTTGACTTGTTCCCAGCAAGGGCCAACCCCCTTTTAAAGAATTTCTCCTCCTTATTACTCTCAACCATGATCCGCTTCTAAAGTGTAAAAACTTGTTTTTAACAAGAGTTGATCTAGTTTATAATAAATCAATTTATAATTTACAAAGTTGTGAGTTTAAATTTCATTACTAATGTGATGACTTTATTATTTGGTGTTAATTTTGAAGGCATGCTCTGATTTTGATGAACTCCTAAACCTAACTCACTTAGACTTATTTTTTTTGCTACATCCAACTGTTCTATTTTTCTTAAAACATACCACTTATATTCATTTTGTTACATTTTTTTTCGTAGAAGAGACTAAGCCCAGTGAATATAAAAACAAAACTGGAGTGGGCCGTGGAGTCTCACTGAATCTTCACAGTCCTAAGGCCACATGTTCTCAGTAGCCTCCTCTTAGGTTTTGGCTAGCTTAGGATGGGATCTCACATGATTGGTTCGTTACTCATAACATGCCGACACAATATTTAAATTTTTGTTACCAACAAGAGTTGGTCTAAGTAGTAAGCAGTTTAGAATTACTTAAGTGAGGTCTCGAATTTGATTCTCAGCGTATGCAGAAATCCCTGTTGGGAGATTTACTCACCACAGCCAGGTGCACGACGCGGGTCAGATATAAATATAGTCGGAGCAAAGGTCCAGTAAACTGAGTAGGCAACCCAAAAAAAACAATATTTAAATTTTTGTTAGTAAATGTGCCTGTATTTAATGTCTGATAACATCAAATAATATTGTTAGTATGAAATTTCTGATGACACATTTCACAAAATGAATAGTGCTATCACGAGAACCACACAAAACATTTCTAAGACGGTGCTTCTTACAAAACTGAAAAAATTATATTGGGAAAATGATTCATAAGTGCAGGTAAGCAATCATTAAGCACTATGTTTTTCTGGTGGGTAACTAGCTAGTCCAATTTCATCAACGTTGAAATCCAATTACGTATAGCTAACTTTCTTTTGAAAGAACAAAACAAAAACAGCACACACGTGTGCATCCCTCCAGAACTCATCAGCCCACTCACCCCCACAAACAAAACGACGTGTCGTTCTTAGATTCACACACGTATCACGTACCTCCCCTCACATTTGCGTACATCCATCAACCTCATTGCAAGTAAAGCTCAAATTTGTATCATCATCATCATCACCTTCATCCCTAACCCTTCAGAGATCTCAGAACTAAGTGATTTACCATAACCCTGAGAACAACAATGGCGGAGACGCAGGAGGTTCGAGAAAGAAACGGTGAGAAAAAACCAGAGGAAAAGAAGTAGCAGCAGCTCCATTGAAGGCTCTGAATCACGTGTCGAGGGTTTGCAGAGACGTGAAGGAATCGATAGAGTTCTACACGAAGGTGCTAGGGTTTGTGGAGATAGAGAGGCCTCAAGTTCTGGATTTTGAAGGAGCTTGGTTGTTTAACTATGGAGTAGGCATCCACCTGGTTCAGTCTCAGGATGATGAGAAATTGCCTTCCAAAACTCACCAGTTGGATCCCCAGGACAATCATATTTCTTTTCAGTGTGAGGACATGGAAGGAATGGAGGAGAGGTTGAAGAAGATGAATGTGAAGTACATGAAGAAGACGATGGAAGCAGAGGATGGGACAGTAATGAATCAGTTATTCTTCAACGATCCTGATGGTTTCATGGTTGAGGTTTGTAACTGTGAGGATCTCAAGCTTGTTCCTTCTTCTCCTTCTTCTCTCCCCAAACTTAAGCTTCCCTCCGACCACCACACTCCTCCCGTCGAAACCAACCACACCACCGCCCACCGCCATGCAAAATAATAATCGCCACTCTAGCTTGTCATTATCTTTCATGATTCATTTTCATTACATATATCTGTTCCTTTGTTCTTTTATGTCTCTTCATGTTTGTTTCTCATTTCCATCTGCTGTTCGAAGGAGGACAAAAAGAGGGAAAACGACATAAATTCTAAGGTTTTGAGCTACCTCTGTATTCTTAGGTTTTATTTTTCTTAGGAATAATTTAGTATTCTTTTGAACTCTTCTCGTGACAAATATCTATTTGTATCATGAATATCTCCTTTCCTTTCCTTTTTCATTTTTGTCTGTGTCTCCGAGATCCATTTCGGCTATTTTTCAATTGCTTGCTATAATTTCTTTTTCTTCTTTTTAAAAAAAATAAGGATTTGTTAATGAAAAGAAATGAGAAACAAATTAAAAAACAGAATTTTTGCTTGAGCTCAAACTGACAGGATAGCTAGCCTAGGAGGCCAAGTGGCTCAACTCTTTGGATGAAAAGAAGATTTGATAAAGGGTTATCTAAAGTTGTAGTTTATTTAAATTTGTAAGTTTTAACATATAAAAAGCCTAAGCTGCAAATTTTAACATAAAGACAATATATGTAAATTTAGTTTTGTAGTAAAAATTGTAAACAGAGAATAAACCTACTTTATCTTGAAATTCATGAATTTTAAAACACCAAAAGTCTAAAATATCTTGATCTGATTTATTATTTTTATTTTGTATGTCGTCACGGTGTCATGATTAAAATGATACTTTAGAAAATTTAAATTAGTTAAATAGCTAACTTAATTAACTTTTTTTAACTACTTAAATTAGTTAAATAGTTCTAAAATCAAGGATTAGAGCTAGTTTGTGTGTGTGTGTGTATCGGTGCTTTATATACATACATATATAGGCAGATATATCATCTTACTTTAGCCTCCTTGTTTGGAAGGTTTTCCATGTATTGGAAATTTCAGGAGTAATATTGCAGAATGGCTCTTTAAGCTGCTCTAAATTAATTAAAATTTTCACATTTACAAGGAAGGAAAATAGCATGAAAGCTGATCGAGGTGATGAAATGAAGTGAGCCATATTCATAATATGTAAAGGAGAAGAGGAAAACTAAAGGATTTGGGGCGTACACAGGGTGATATGATCGATCTGCAGTAAAAAGAAACATCAAAATTTCCATTTATAGAAATTAAAGGTTACAAATACGACGGACGCACGCACGCAATACGATAATGATGATGATAAGGAAACCTGCGGTAGTACATATAGCTAGGCAAGTAACGACAGAAGAAAAATGCAAAATAAAACTACTGTTGATGATCCCGCTTTGGTGTGTATGTTGGTCGATGATCATAAGAGTCTTTCTAGTAATGGAAAGTTCCACGGAAAGAATGCAACCAATTGGCCATATGTCTCTATCCCCCACTTGTTCTCTTTCTCTTCTTCCTCGTAATAAGTTGATATGTATATTTAATCCGAGAAACTCAAACAGGACAATCCTTAAACTCAGCAACATTAAGGTTATTATTCCCTTCATCAGCAACAACGATTCCCACTGGGTCTGGAAACACCTCACTGCTTCCTCTCTGGTTCATTCCCACCACCACCTCCTTCACTGCCTCCATCCCCACCTCTTTCTCTCCTTCCATCATCTTCTTCCCACCATCTCTGTATATCCCATACAACACCATCTGCATCAACCCCAACGCAAATCCCAGCACATTCGGCACCTACACATACAAATACAGTATCTAATTATACCAAATGGCATACGCATGTATGTACCAGTCTAAAAGTTAGATATATTAGTTTGAGACATACAAAAGAGAATGTCAAATATGATAGACAAATTATATTCATATCTAATATAAGAGTTAATTAACTAATTTGAGTACATTAAAGAAATAAGTTAAGTTAGTTATTTATGGTAAATAACTGTTATCTTTCTTAAAATATCTTTACTAATCAAGTTTACTGCTAAAACTACTATTATTAAAAGGACTATTTGGAGAGAAAAAAATGAATGAACATGAAAGACAAAGTGAATTGTGGTCTTATATTTATGACCAAATAAAAATCAAATGAGGTCTTATACTAAGAACTGGAGGTAGTATTTAGGATCAAATGCAACCCGGCTCTCATATTAGTAAACCCCGGGATATATGTATCTCAATTCAAAGTTTATGCAGATGTGTGTGTGTGTGTGTGTGAACTTACAGCAACGCATATGTCCCTGCGGAAGAGGCCATAAGCAAACCACATGACAGCACTCAGTGTGAGGAAAAATGAGAGGGTGAATGGCATATACTTTACACTCTTTGTTCTAATAACTTGTGCCTGCAAAACACAGATAGATTCAATTTAATTGAAGTGAAAGAGATATATGGAGAGGACTTGAACAAGTAATTGGTTTCATGTTGGAATAGCTTCTGCTAAAACCATTGAGCTACTGACTGACCATGATGCTGAGAGGAGCAGCGAAGACACAGACAGAAATGGAAACGCAAATCCAACCCAGCACATGAACACGTAGGGCAGCATCATGGATAGCAAATTGCGTCACCAACATGATCAAACCGAACGACCCCAAGTTCATGGCTCCTATCAGCTTAATCGTCAACTTCTGCAACACCAAATCAAATTATTAATATTCATTAAGTAATTAAGATCATGATGTGTGTGTATTAGTAATTAGTAGTTTATCACATACCCTGGCTTCCCTGGAGGCATATGTGATGAAGGCGAGAATGTAGATGACCTCAATAACGCAGCCGAATGAGTTGATGGTGATGAGCAAAAGGGCGTGGGTCTTGAGGTAGGCATAGTAGAGCCAAAGCATGCAACTGAATAACGCCACCAGGTACGGGATTGACTGGAATCCTTCCGTTGATTTCTTCTTGTATATCCGGTAAAATGTTGGCCTGTCCTCATTTTCATTTTTCCAAATTAATGTCATGTCATCATTTCATTCATATACCGACCTTAAAATCCTTCCACATTATTACACACATATATATAATAGTTCGGAAAAATTAAGGGTGTTTGTGGGGGAGAAGAAGTTATATACTTACAAAGGTGCCAAAAATACCAGGAAGGAAATGAAGTTCCCTGCGAATCCAAACACAAGAGAAATATTTAAGCACTTGGCTGTGACTGAGCTATAAAAATAAACAACTACCAATATATAGGAGATGTAGGGTCATTTTGGATTAGCAATTGAAAAAGTAATTTATTGTCTATTTGACTTTTAAAAAAGTTAGATTAAAGAAAAGTTAAATCAAATAATGTGAATTGTGTTTGGATTGAATTTTATAAAAGTTAGTTTAAGTAAAATGTTGTTTGGATTATAATTGAATAAAAGTAAGTTTAGTTTGTATAATTACTAAAATGGGTGTGAGTTTTATTAGATAATGAAAAGTAATAAATAAATGAATTTACATGATACAATAAATTTAAATTAGTAAGTTTAGTTTGTAAAATTACCCAAAGTGAGCATGAGTTTTATTAAATAATAATAAATGATTAAGAAAATGAATTTACATAATACAATAAATTTAAATTATTTTAATGTGAAGAAGCAAAATTTCATCACTCAAATACATTTTAAAATATTATTTTAATAATAAGAATGAGCATGAAAGGTTTTTGAATATCGAGATAGAAAACGATAGAGAATAAAGTAACAGAAAGAGTGAGAAAATCTGACAATGTAACAATTGTTTTAATTGTATACTCCTACCAAACCACAAGTACGGTAAAACTCAAAATAAATTACTCTTAGGAGCTTATCAATTTGTGCGGCTTAATCCTACTTTTGAGCCATAAGTGGGATGGCTCAAAAGTCCCACCAAACATTTATAAAATTTATAATCATGCTTATGACACCAAGAAGCCACTTTTGAGCTTCAAAACGCCAAGCCAACCCGTAGACTTCTCTACTTCAAAAAAATTCATCAATAAACAGTGAAGGCTACAAAACATACTGCATCATGACTCACAGGAGAAGCCTATCCTAAAAGACTAGTTGGTTAGGGAAGTCCCTAAACTTAATAAATAAACCCCGCTTTCCTTATCAAGTACCAGCGTAGGACTCACAAAACCCTTCCCATAAGTCACTTTTAATTTGAAGCACAGAGAGTTCAACTACAAGAGAGAGAGAGAGAGATTACTACAAAGATGGAAAAGTAGAAAATTTAAACCAACTGGTATAAGAAATTCAAGAGCCAGAAAAGAAAAACAGACAAACTCTAGAAAGAGAAAGGACCACATATATATACCGAGGATGCCAAAGGTAAGGGCCAAAGTATGTTGAGAGCTCATGATGGCCATGTTAGCTAGCTATTTAGGATCTCGAGCTAATCTCAGGCGATCGAGAGCACTACTATATTGAAGCTTGTGGCCTGGGATGCGGCTATTCGACACCCCAGTTTGTGTATATATATACACGGGCACACACACAGAGAACGAGGAAAACGTAGGGGGATAGATATCGAGAGAGAAATGAGGAGAGAAAGGAGGGTATTTATAAAGAGAAAGGGATTGAGTAGGGGAGGAGGAGAACGTGAAGGAGGAGGGGGTGGCACATGATGATGGATCTTACATCAAAGTTATAACAAATTGGTGATTGTTTAGGACAAGTTAGTAGGAGTTATTAGCAGCCATACATAATTTCATACGTAGGTTATACAGAAAGAGGTCGGAGAAGCCAAGGGGGTTGTGTTTGTCTTTGTCGTTCACGTGTCACCTAAACCAAATCTCTCACTTACTTACTCACACCTTCTCATTCTCTGCTTCCTGACATAACACGCCTCCATCACTCCCCAAAATTTCTTCCTTTCTGTTTCACCCTTACTTCCTCTTTCTTCCCCTTATTTCTGGACTGCCCATGCGTTATTATTCAACTTTATAACTCCCCCCTCGCCTCATTCCCCATGCTTTTTGGTTCGCCAAAGTTAAATATTTTTCTAACTGTAGTTTTGACTTGGTTATAATTCGGTTATTTAACTTCAACTTTATGCAACTCAATACTTATCGTTTTGGTTCTACCGAAACCAGGTCCTTGAATTTTAACTTGTCTAGATCATTTAAAACTTTGGTTTCTAAATCTCATGAAATATGTAATTTTATTTTATAAAACATAAAGACTAATATTCTAAATTGTCAAACTATATAGGAATTGAATCACGTCGAACAAAAGTTGAAAGACTGAGTTGTAACTGATTTAAAATTTCAGGGATCAAATGGTATTGAGTCAGAATTTATGAAACAATAGATTAATTTTTTTTTCTTTTTGTTTTTTCAATAACATGGGTTGCTACTAACATTTTAGGGTATTGAAAATCCGAGCCAATCATTAAGTTGATGGAGGTTTGATCAAAAAAACTTAAACCGACCATGTGATTAAACTAGTCGCGACTATTAAATTAATATATTTTATATTTATTTATATTGGATCTTCGTAAACTTTTATGTTTATGAATGGCTTTCTGTTGCATTATTCTGTTTTTTAATATCAAAAAACTATATATTATTGACGAAGTGTTTTCGTAAGTCAACTTTTTCTGTAATAACCCCTTAAACTTTGGCTTTATGTATATAGAGGATTTTAAAAATTTTAAGTCATGCGTAAATTATATGTTAAATCTAAATCCTATCTTAGCGAGAGAGTTATTCACATAAATGTTACAGGTTTAGGGAAATTTTTGTAAAATTTAAGGTGAAGTATTATTATATTGATGACAAAGTTGCATCTAGTCCTTTAATTTTATATTTTAATTTGAATTTTTAAATTAAAAAAAGTGTAACTTCAATCCTTATTTAATTTTAAGTATACACGCAGTATCATAATTAGCAGAGCGATTTTTTACACAAACAAAAGCAGAAATAAATGGGGAACACCAACATATAATCACGTTTTAAAAGCGTTTGGATAGATTCATGTTTTACTTCTTCTCATGAATTTCTGTAATTTGCTTTAATTGGATGGCGTCAAACTCACAAAAAGAGTGTCCAGACTGAAATAACCAAATAAAAAGGGAAATAAGTGAATTTTGGAAATCTTGCTCCGTTTTCTTGTGGCCGGAGAATAGCCCAAGTGGAGGAGATGAGGTTTCAATGGCGTAAGCCAGGTATGTAGAATTAATATATATATATTTATTTTGTGAGTTTCAAATATTATTTTATTAATAGTTCACTTATAAAAATATATACTTTTTTTATTTTTTTATGATTAAAAATTAGCCCCACAGCTCTCATAGTAATCAGGTGAGTTGGGTTAGATTATCATGGTCAGGACATACTTCTAGATTTAATTATTTAAAGAGTAAGCAAAAAAATATTTACATATTACCTACTAACAAAGTCCTCTTATTAGTACCGTGATCTGAACTTATGATCTTATAAGTTATAATGAGTAAACCTTTTCCTAGCTGGACTAATCTTTATTTGCATCATGGTCAATTTTTATGTGAAGGTTATGTTTTTTATTGTGACTTTTTTTATTTAAAAAAATTTGGGTGATTACTGATTACTTGTATATTTGAACAAAATTTCAGATGAAACATTATTTTTTTTCAATAATAGAACGACTGGTCATATATAATATGATCCAAAAGTGTTTACGATGAAGCAATGCTTTTTTTGTAATATTAAATTCAAATTTTATAATCAATTTTTTTTTTCACAAAAATTTAAGCACTGTATTAAGCGACAATTTATTAAGTGATGACAAGGGATTGCCGGAGAATGTGAATAGGAGAGATTCACAATTTCACACTGAACTTGAATTGAACAAAAACGTCCCGACCGGTCCCCGACCGGCCAGTTTTGGAAAGCACCTGCCCCGGCCATGCAATATCAAAATCATTCACCTTCTTAGTTCTTAGCTCCCCTCTTCATTTGTTAACAAAATACTAATACTTTGTCCGCTTTTAAAGATAAGAGCTAAAAAAATAGTTTTCAAATTAATTATTTGTAATGAATATGTATTTATTTTTTTAAAAAATACTTGTTTTAATATTTGCATTATAAACTGCTTCCAGATATATGATAGAAAACAAAACCTTGAGGGGGTTTAGGAAAAAAATTATAATTTTAGAAGACAAAGTAATGAGAAGAAGTACTATAAGACATTTTTAACTAAAACATGTGAATCAAGAAAAATGGTTAGATAGCTAAGATTTTAGATTTGTTCAACTTTACCTTTTTTAATACTACCAATCATTAATTATTTGTTAAGTAAGGGATAAGTAATTTTGATGTATATACTCTGCGGACAAAGTGATTAACATAGGATTTTATAAAATATGTCTCAATATTTGAAAAATATATAGCAGTAGCAGTATAAATTATATAACCAAATTATTCCCTTTTTTTTCAATTTGGGCTCACATAATTATTCTTTTATTTCATTCACTATATATATGAATTTAATTATTATGTTTTTTTTTATCATAGTCGGACTAGTAAATGAAATAAATCAGTATTTTGATTAATAATCATATGGTATAACAACCAGAAAGACAAACGGGACCAAAACATATGTTAAGGATAATATATAAAGACATGTGAACAATAGACTTTTTGTTTCTCCATTTGTATATAAGCATGAACTTGACAACAAAACACACATTATTTTACGTGTCGCTGGGCATTCTGGCATGCTCTCATCATATCATCCTTAAAAAACAAGCACGCATGCATATAAATTAACAAATCACTTTGTAAATTAATTGTATATAATAATAGATTAAGAGGATTATTTAATATAAAACATCAGATACACATGATGAATTATTATTGCATCTAAATCTAATCCTTTTAGTTTCTAGTCAAAATCAATATGATTCTCTCATGATCAACTCACTTATGCAACAAACTCTATCCATTTGGTTTATACCATGTTATGTACCCTAAACAAAGTTGGCTTTGTGTGCGTGTGCTATATTTTTCCTGGAAGAATGACAATTAGGGATCCTATAGAAAAATTAATACAAAATAAGCACCTGTTTACTACTGAAATTTCAAATTTTACTAATCTAACTTCTATATATTTACATCTTCTGAGTTCTTATTTTACATTAATATTCTTATAAATTAATGTTCTTCATAGTCATTCTCCCTACTTTTTCCCTACATGTGTTTTATTGTGGTCAAGTATATACTCTCATTTTATTTAAAAAAAATAACAAAAACATACCTGTTGAATTTCAAAAAGACAAATAGGTCATGTTGACTATTTTCTTTTATATTGGTTTTGACATGTTAAAATCACCCATTTGTCATTTTGAAATTTAACAAGTGTTTTTTTATAATTTCTTTTTTTATTTATAAATGAAGCAACGGCATTTTTTTCGAGTCTCTACGAAGCTCTTCACAAATCATATCTCTGTAATCCATGAAGAAATAATGTGCTACATGTTATTCATAGTTCATATAATACAATAATAATTTGCTATGGATTTTATATGCTTCCTCCATTAAAAAATTATTCGTTTTTTTTTGTGTTTTAAGACTTTTGTTAACTTATAACTGCAAGGTATAGTCGATAGTCTTTTTTTTTAATTATATCCTCATTTAATGATTATCTCGATAATTATTTTAACCAACTATAATTATCTTTTTGATTATCATGTTTTCTTTTAATTTATCATCCTATACTCTTCTATTGCTCTTATTTTCCCTTCTCTTTGATTTCCCCCCCTGCTAAATTAGCATTAAAGTAAGTTTCATTCCAAGCTCTACAAAGATACCTCACGTCGTCGATGATCCATCCAAAGTAATTAAACTAATCAATCATTTACATACCAGAGGCAAGATAGCAAACTAATTAATTAAGTTAATAATACCTTTGGTGCAATAACAACATATACCATATTCTATATTATTTTAAGCGACACAAATTGTATTATATATATTACTATCATATCTAATCTCTTGATTAAGAGCTGAGAGAAGTCCAAATTAGAGAAGCTACTACCAACAAGATCTTTGTTTTATGATGTGAAAGACACCCTCATGGCTAGTGTGCGTAATTATTGCCGTTATAATTAATTCTTCGATTTCTGTACTATCACACTGGATATAAATGCAGATGAATTAGAAATAGACTGATTTATGTAGGGATTACTCAAAAAGAACAATCCCTAGTCTTACCTTTAACTTTAATTATTCAAAAGAATTATAACACTTATAATTAGAGCTTAAAACATCTAATACTGAGCCACAAAACATTCCAATCTTAAAACATCTAACAACATAAAATTAAGATCATGAAACCCAACCTAGAACTGATAATCCTATATCCCTTTCTGCCCAATGCATGCACACACATCTACTGGAATGAAAATAAACAAATTAAAGCATCCACAATACTGATATGGGACGATTGTAGCACACCATATATATATTTAGGATGCCAACAATTATGAAATTTTTCTGCCGGCTTATTACCCATAACATTTAGATACCCGAAATTATATATCTCCACACACATTTTGAAAAGAAATTAACATCCCAGTTTGTCTTTTTGATCGAATTGAGAGTCTTTGATGTGACTTAAGGGTTGAAAGGGTTAGGAGGAAGTGGAATAACAGGGAAATTTTGGTAAATTAAATGAAAAGCTTAAAATCTTGTCATATCAGCACCAGATAAATCTAGCTAGTTGTAGGGACTCAGCCAATGTTGGACAACAATAATGACTTTTAGATTCAGATTTTGGAATACGACTAGCATTGAGTGAGTGATATGATTAGCATGGCTCAGCCGACATCGGATGAGCCATGATAATCATATCATATACGACTGTTTTGTGGATTGATAAGGATTTCTATTTTGGCAACTAGGGTTTCAAATTGCTTATGATGGTAATTTGTAGTTTATCACTATATGAAGTTTGCTCTTGGTTATGAATTTAATGGGTGGAATCTGAGGTTCTTTGCTTGTTGGGCCAAACCCTATGATAAAGTGTTGAAATTTGGGGATTATGCCGTGAATAATCTTGATCTGTCTATTCGAATATGATTTTGGTATTGGTGGATTGAAAGTTAGTGGTCTTTGATTTTTGGTGAATTTCCTGTGCAAATTTCCATTACGTGGAGTTGGGATTGGCTTTGTTTTAAATGATTGATAGTGATATTCTTCATAGATACCATCAATTGAATATTTTGGATTCTATATATGGAACCTTTCGGACATTTTGGATCGTAGAATTATAAGTGTCTTTTTTTCTCCATTAAGCACAAGGATCTTTCTATTGAATCCAACTTCGGGGGTGTTTGGCATTCTTAAAACCGCGGTTTCAGAAGCATTTTTCCGCAAAACGAGGTAACCTTCTCCACATATTTGCTTGGTAATCCGTAAAAACACTTTTGAAACCATGGTTTGGTTTCTACCCAAACACTCCCGAATCTACTAGACTTAATTTTTATTGATATGTTAAGTTCTTTTTATTTTCTTAAACTTGAATTTTGGTGATTCAAAAGTTATTGGGCCCTATAGGCATTGATTTTGGACTCGTGACCCAACTTTGAAATTGGATTATTTTGAGTTAGAAGTGCCTATTCTCTTAAAAGGTATAAAGGAAATATAGCACCTTTTTATCTTAATTCTAAACCTCTTAACCAATATGGATTGTGTCTAATGTAAAGGGTTACTCTTAACAATGTATTAAATAGAATTATCTTCAATAACATGACACACATGTGGAGAAAAAAATTATTAACCCCTTATCACCCTTGAAGTAACCTAAGGCTACCATTAATATCAATGGAGAAGGAAGATGGAATAAATAGCTCAAAATAGCCCATTAAATGAGTGTATTTTAGTCATTTTATAAATTTTTTACATTAATTAATCAATAATCATTTCTTAACCCGTGTGCTATCATTTTAAATAACTGTTTCCGAATGCATGGATGAGATATCTCCTTGAACACATTGCTTTCTACTTTATTAATCAAACAAGTTCGGAGTGATTTTGCATTACTACTAACTTATAAATAGTATGGTTTATTATACATATTTTTTTGGATAGAAGGTCTATTCTGCATTTTAATTTTATAATAGGTTGATATAGATACATTAAATACATACAGAATTAATAAAAATATTATTTATTACTGTCTCTATTTCTTAATATAAAGAGCAAGTTGATGATTAGGTTTGATCTTAAACATAATATTATTTAATATACTTTATCTCTTATATTTATTATTTTTTCAAACTAATTTATTTTACTTATAAACTGATACAATTTAGTGTAGAAGTACTTTAGATAGATTTTACCATATTTATTATAATTAACTAGTTTATTTGATTTTTTGTTGGATACAACTAGTTTATTTGATTTTTTAATCTATTTAAATCAGGCAAGTAATTTTTATATTAAATATCAATCAATATTATTTATTAAGTTGGGAATGGATGATGTAATTAACAAAACTCGTGAAGTCGACATTTCTATTTCTTTCGGCAAATTCATCCCCAAAAAAGAAAAAGAAAAGAGAAAGAAAAAAGAGAAAAGCTCCCTTAATCGCATATTATGTCCGACACGTCAAGCTCTAATTGGTCCATCTGACGATGCCTGTAATTCCCTTAAGGGGTTAGGATCTGATGCAGCGTCTCTAACGTACACCCCTCATACACCAGCTCCGACAGTTGTCCATCTAGGACAAAGTTACCCTTAGTCCCTTACCTTTCGTCTCTCTGATCCAAAGCCCGAAGTTGTGCCTCTCGCACAAAGTTGAAGAAATTAACTCAGAAAATAAGCTCGAACACGCTTCCATAGCCCTCGTTAATGCAAAATTTGATATTGAAACACAGAAACGGAAGCGAAGGATAATAAAGAGGAAGGCTAGGAAGAAGAAGAAGTAGTAGAAGGGCGAAGCGTGAGAGAGAGTGTTTTCCGCCCTCTCGCGCACACATTTCACAGATCAGATCGAAATCTGCCCAATTGTTAGTTTCGCAATTTTCCATCTCTAAGATCCAATTTTTTCTTTTGCTGAGTGAGCACTTGAATTTGTTTTTAGTTGGGGGCGATTAGGTTTTTCCGAATCCAATGGCGTGCATAAAAGGGGTGAATCGATCGGCCTCTGTGGCTCTGGCGCCGGACGATCCTTACATGGCGGCCGGAACCATGGCGGGGGCGGTTGATCTGTCATTCAGCTCCTCTGCCAATCTTGAAATATTTAAGCTTGATTTTCAGTCGGATGATCAGGAACTGCCTTTGGTCGCCGAGTTTCCTAGTTCCGAGCGGTTCAATCGTCTATCTTGGGGGAACAACAGTTCTTCGTCTGAAGGTTTTGGTCTCGGCCTTATTGCCGGTGGACTGGTTGATGGGAACATTGACATCTGGAATCCCCTTACTCTGATCCGGTAATTGAGTTTTGCTTTAGAGCCTTGTTTCTTGGTCGACCTTCGAAATTGAATGTCGTCGAGGATGTTTCTTCCTTTATTTTATTCTGTTTTAGTGTTTTTAATGAGGGGACCTGCCGTTAGAGTTTCAAAAAGACAATTTGAAACTTCGTCTTTCAGTTTGTTACTGGATCCACGCTAAATGGCTTTCAAGGATTATGAACTGATTAGTGCTCCGCCTCTAGATGCATAAATTAGATACTTGTTAAAAGTTAAGTAATTCAGGAATGGAGTGCGATGAAGATATATAGGATTATAAGCTCTTTATGCTGATTGCATTCAACTAGATATTTGGCAACTTTCATGTATTGTGATGCTCTTCCGTGTAGTGCATTGAAGATTTCTGAATAATTACTTGATGTCTTGTTATTTTGAGTTAGAATAGGAATTTTGTTTGATATTGTATTGCCGCTAATTGTATACCATGCATTTTGCCATTGTAATTCTTTCAAGTTTCTTGTGCTTTTGTGTTCGTTCGCTGACCTTTCTTTTTGACGGCGCATGTTGAAAAAAATTCTTTCAACTCCTCCTAGAGTAGGTTTGGTGGGAAAATATGGAAGGAAAAGAGATGCAGATTAAAATTATAAACAACAATATATCGTCGAAATATTGCACCGTTGTTTGAAAATCGTTCTAAATTTGATTTGTTGTGAATTTAATGTTATTTGTTTTCCATTTTTGCTGAGCAATTAGATGGATGGTGGTCTCTTTCCGGGCGACGTGAGTGGGCATTGATTTTAATACTGGCTATTTTACTTCTATTAATTGATAATTGATCCTAACTCAAAAATGATGTACTTTCAAATCATTATGTATTTTATGGTTGTCTTGAAAATAAAGGATAGCCATTGACCTTTGGAAACCAAAGGGTGCATGATTGCTAGTTTGGAGATTCTCTTTGATTTGATTTAAATTATTGATCCAAAGATTCGTAAAACTGAATGTTTGGTTCTATGATTTTTTTCATTTGAAGGTTGCACACAAATTTTCCTGTTTTTCTAATGAACTTACTTTTTTGATTTATTTTCTCAGTTCGGAAGCAAATGAAAATGCTTCTGTTGCACACCTTGAGAGACATAAAGGACCTGTAAGTTTTCTTTTCCTATTTGAATGAGCCTGCAGTTCGTAAATGCTCTTCCTCATCTAGACTATGTATTATTTTCTCGAACTGTTGAAAAAAAAATGCTACCTCTGAATTTTATGTTTCAGGTTCGAGGTCTTGAATTTAATTCTATTGCACCAAATCTTCTTGCATCTGGGGCTGATGATGGTGAAATTTGCATATGGGATTTGGCCAATCCTTTGGAGCCCACTCATTTTCCGCCACTCAAGGTCAGATTTCCTTCCTTTGAGTGCGTACCTGTGAAATGCCAGCGTTTTACTAGATAAATCTGTGCTCTATCTTTGAATGTCTGTCCTTTTTTTTTTATTTTATTTGTATAGTTTTAAGGATGAACCAGCACATCTTAGTGTATATAATTACGGTGCAGGGTAGTGGATCTGCTAGCCAGGGGGAAGTTTCATTCTTATCATGGAATAGTAAAGTCCAGCACATTTTAGCATCAACATCTTATAATGGGACCACTGGTGAGAAAAGATTATCAAAATTTTCTTTACATTATTCCCAACCATATTTTGGTTAGAATCCTAGATTTATTTTATTTCATTTTTTTTGAACATTTTGAATTTTTTCCAGTGGTCTGGGATCTAAAGAAGCAAAAGCCAGTGATAAGGTAAATTGATGGCTAATTATTGATTCACCATCTTTTGCTTTTGTTTTGTAAAGGGCATGCAAAATTTTTGATAACCTGGTGTATCATATTTGAAATGACAGCTTTTCAGATTCAGTTAGAAGACGGTGCTCAGTTTTACAGTGGCATCCTGATATTGCCACACAGCTTGTTGTTGCATCAGATGAAGATGGTTCTCCTACTGTGAGGGTATAAAATTTGGGGATGAAGTAACTATTTATTTTGTTGACTGATAAGGTTTGACCATGTGAAAATATTGATGCAGCTTTGGGATATGAGGAACATAATGACACCAATAAAGGAGTTTGTGGGACATACTAAAGGTATCGACAACTTCCGTTAGTCAAGTTACATATAATTCTTTGCAAATATTCCATAGGCATCACTTGTTTGCTTCTTTCTCTATGTACACCGAGCCATCAATGCTAGACTCTTGGTTGACTTTTTTCCACCATCCTTCACTTGCACACACATGGAAAAAACTGAGAATTGAAAAACAGGACTAGGTAGATGGTTAAATTTTTTATCATTGCTTTCTCTTTCCATGGACCTTGATTTAATCTCTTGACGTGAAATGAATAAACCAGAGATAGATGGTGTTAGATAGGTCTGGGCAGGTGGTAAATTTCATTATTAATGCCCTGTTTCTCTTAATTTGATTTTTGGCTCCTCCAACAGTTGTGCTACTGAGAGTCATAAGCTGCTAAGTCAAGGTTGTTAATTAGATTTTCATGGTTGCATTTGAGATAGGATTGGATTGCCTTTACTTTAGTAAGCACATTAACTTAAGTTAGGTTTCCTTGTCAATTTTAGCCTTTGCTAGTTTCAGTGCGATATGTTTACCTTGAGTGCATTATCAAATAGATAGCTTTTATTTGGCTTGTGCAGGTGATACATCTGGTATTTTGTATATTCTATAGGCTGTGAATGATTCTTTGTAGTTAGTTTTGGTTTTGCTGTTTAGCTTCCTGGTTCACCTATAAGGGTAGCTGACAAGACTATATTGGCTAAATTTTCTAATTAGGTGTAATTGCAATGTCATGGTGTCCCAATGATAGCTCTTACTTGCTAACCTGTGGCAAAGATAGTCGCACCATATGCTGGGACACAATTACTGGAGAGGTGGTGTTTGGCCCTTTTTTCCCCTGTTAAATCTTGTTTAACTAATTTGGCAAGTAACACTTTACACATTATTTGTTCAGTACTGACTGTTTATTTTCATTTTCATTATTATTTTGGCAAGATTGTCTGCGAATTGCCAGCTGGAACCAACTGGAATTTTGAGGTTCACTGGTATCCTAAGATACCTGGAGTGATATCAGCATCTTCCTTTGATGGAAAAATTGGCATATACAACATTGAGGTACATATTTATTTTTCTGCTGGTTCATTCATATCCGTTTTGCTTTGCAAATGAGAAGTATGGTTGAATTTTGAAGTTATCTTGGGATGGAATGAAGTAACATGGAAATGGAATAACCGGATAAGGGGAAGCCTGCATCTTATATACTCTATTTTTCATTGATCACTAAGAAGATTGTGGTAATCATGATACGCTAAAATCAGCATCAAATGCTTTTTCTATAGCAATGCTTTTTAACAATTGCATTGATATGTTGAATGATAAAATTGTGAATCAAAATTTAATCAACTGAGTTCCTTGTTTAGTGTCTTCCTGTCATTTTTCTGCATGTTAATTCTTCATTACTTCATGTCTTTTAGAAGTGGTATGAAATTTTGCGTATTCTTTGAACAGGTATTGTGAACATGAATTGATCGAAAAGTCATGAGTATAAAATTCTTAGTTGGCCCTCTTCATTTCTTAATCTTTTCTTTCAATCACTTTAAGTCTTTCTTTATGACAGTAAACATTATCCGATTTTGAACTGCTGACTGTAAAGTAGACATTCATTTTAATTAGCCTATTGCTCACTGAAAGTGTTATTTTCCAATATCAGCATAGCCTGATTGTGCTTATTTATAGCATTTTGTACGATCTGATCTTTCTTTTTAATTATATATTTATTGTACCTAATCCCAAATAGAAAATAAAAGTCGAGGGAAGAAGATCTATTATCTATTCATTACATGTGCATGCACACGCACATATATATAAATGAAGCAATTAAATGAGCTCATTTCTAATAGCAACATATGACTTAGTATCAGATTAATAGCTAAAAAAATTACTGATGTATATTTTTTTACTTTATTATTGCATTATAGGCGTAATCTCTTTTTTTTTTTTCCTTTCTTGATATCCCTTTGCCAGTCATATTACTAATTACATCTATAATTGTTTGCAGGGTTGCAGTCGATATGGTGTTGGGGAACATGATTTTGGCGCAGGTGACGCTTTTATTTCTTATATGTATTTGTTACAGTTATCAGCATTAGACATGCTCAAGTTTTTAATATGCAGCGTTTTATTTTTGTGATTTATGGGGATGGGGAGGATTGTGTAGGTCAACTCATCATGTCTTGTTAGTTAATCTCAGATTTTGACTCAAGGATATCTTTATGAATATTACCTTTCCATGCAGCACCTCTGAGAGCTCCAAAATGGTATAAACGTCCTGTTGGAGTCTCATTTGGCTTTGGGGGCAAGCTGGTGTCATTTCAATCCAAGTCATCTGCTGCAGGTGCACCAACTGGGCCGTCAGAGGTGAAATATTATTACTGTGATGTCCTTGTATTTCTTCTGCTGAGCTGTTAAACTTTGTTGACTCTATCTTATTTGTACTAACAAACAAACAACAAGCCTTATCCCACTAGGTGGGGTCGGCTACATGAATCACACGACGCCATCGTACTCTGTCAACAACCCAATCCTTAGATATGTTGTTGATTAGGAGGTCTCGTTCAATGACCTCATTCAGCGTTCTTCTCGGTCTTCCCCTGCCTCTTTTTATGGGACTCCATCTTGTTTGATCCACCCTCCTCACCGGGGCTTCCAAAGGCCTTCTCTGCACATGTCCAAACCATCTTAAGCGATTTTCAACCATTTTCTCTTGGATAGGTGTCACACCGACTCTTGTCCTGATCTTTTCATTTCGAATCCTATCTTTTCTTATATGACTACACATCCATCTCAACATCCTCATTTCTGCTACTCCGACTTTGTGCTCTTGTTTTCCCTTTATTGCCCAACATTCACTACCATAAATCATAGCTGGTCTTATAGCAGTCCGATAAAATTTTCCTTTAAGTTTCTCAGGTACCTTCTTATCGCAAATAACTCCGGTAGCTTTCCTCCACTTTAACCAGCCAGCTTGTATTCTATGAGAAATGTCTCCATCAATTTCCCCATCCTCCTTTAAGTTTATCTTATTTGTACTATTCCAGGTATTTGTGCACAACTTGGCTGCTGAAGACAGTCTTGTGAGTAGGTCATCTGAATTTGAAGCTGCAATACAAAGTGGGGAAAGAGCATTATTAAGGGCTTTATGTGATAAAAAATATCAGGAGTCACAGTATGTTTTTCTCCCTGAAGAGTCATTTTTTCTCACTGTTTGGTTTTGATGTCTCGTTTAATCTGCTATTGATCTGTTCATTTTGACAGATCTGAGGAGGAAAGGGAAACCTGGGGCTTCTTAAAGGTTATGTTTGAAGATGATGGGACTGCACGAACAAAACTACTCACTCACCTTGGTTTCAGTGTACCTAGTGAAGGAAAAGACACAGTTGCAGATGGTCTTACCAAAGAAGTAAGTGGTCTTGGACTTGAGGACACATCTGTCGATAAAGTAGGACTTGAGGCGGCCAATGAACCCACTGTTTTCCCTTCTGACAATGGGGAAGATTTCTTTAACAATCTTCCTAGCCCCAAAACTGATACACCTGTGTCTACTTCTGGTGGCAACTTCGTTGTGGAAGATGCCAATGGTTCAGAGAAAATCCAAGAAGAGTTGGAAATGGAGGAGAGTGCTGACTCTTCATTTGATGACAGTGTTCAACGTGCTCTGGTCCTTGGAGACTACAAGGGAGCAACTGCGCAATGCATATCTGCAAATAAGTGGGCTGATGCTTTAGTTATTGCTCATGTTGGCAGTGCTTCCTTGTGGGAAAGTACACGGGATCAATACCTTAAGCTAAGCCGGTCCCCATACTTGAAGGTAGTTGCTAATTAAATCATATATTCCATTAGATTATATATCTGACTGATATCAGTTCTTTCCTTAAATTCACCACTTATCTGTGATTTATGGGTTATTTCCATTTTCAGATTGTATCAGCAATGGTGAGCAATGACCTCTTGAGCCTTGTGAACTCCAGGCCTCTGAAGTTTTGGAAGGAAACTCTTGCTCTTCTATGCAGTGTAGGTCTCGTTGCTTCCTGTCTGATTTCTTCTTCTTCTTTTAATTTTTAGCAAGTATTGATGATTGCATTTTTTAATTTACTAATGTTTGTTACATCATTTTAAAATTGATCAAAGAGAAGTTACTTTATCATGTTTTATCTGGCATCTCAGGCTCACTGGTTCGTCAATATTTAAAATAGTTTTTTCTTGGGTCATCTCTCTCTCTCTCACACCCCCCCTTTTTCTTACTACTGGAAAGGATGTGCAAGTTCTTCTCCATATTTTACCATTCGACTATGTTATTTATGTGTTGTTGCCACTAATGGATTATATTATAATTGGGGAATGTGGTTTTCTGATACTAAATAAGGACCCTTGCTCTCTACCTTTGACTTATAATCAGCTTAAATTCTCAACTTTCATATTAGTTTAAAGATATCAATAAGAAATTAAATACAAGATATCAGTTCTGTTGACCCTGGAGTTTATCTGTTGCATAACTGATGTTCTTTAGTTATGAACTACTTACAGTTTGCACAGAGAGATGAGTGGACAATGCTTTGTGACGCACTTGCTTCAAAACTTATGGTGGCTGGCGATACATTAGCTGCGACACTTTGTTTTATATGTGCTGGAAATATTGATAAAACAGTTGAAATTTGGTCAAGGAGACTGCAGAGTGAGCATGAAGGAAAATCTAATGTTCAGCTTCTACAGGTAATGAGTGACTAAGTTCAAGTTTTTCCCCCCAAAATGAAAAAACTGATATAGAACTGAGAATTATAAAGGCTGGATGGTTGACGAAATCTTGTAATTTGATAGGAGTTGATGGAGAAGACTATTGTTCTTGCTGTAGCAACTGGGCAAAAGAGGCTTAGTTCATCTCTTTGCAAGCTTGTTGAGAAATATGCTGAAATTTTAGCAAGTCAAGGGCTGTTAACTACTGCAATGGAGTATCTGAAACTCTTAGGATCTGATGAGCTTCCAACTGAACTTGTGATCTTAAAAGATAGAATTGCTCTTTATACAGAACCTGGTAAGCTTTTTGGTAGCACCTGTTCTTTTTTTCAAGTTGATAATTAGAATGTGACCCTTTAACTGGTTTTATTGCTTGATTTGTATGTCGATTGATGGCATTCACATATTATTTATTGGTTGAAATTTGCTTCTGATTTTAAAATTTTTCTTATAAGAAAAATGCAGGATATAATATGATGTCCCTAGGATAGCTTTGTGCTAGTCGCCTCTGAACAAACTGCATAATAGATAAACTCTTCCCGGGGTTTTTTTTGACCTTCTCTTCCCGGGGTTTTACTATAGACTTTTCTTGTATATGAAAAGGGCCCTTGTCATGGATACTTTTATTTTTCTTTCATGATAAAAGACAATGGTGAAACTTCCCTTGATCACAATATTATTCTGAATAATAGCTATCTATCTAGTGACTTAATACGAATGTAGCAGTTTCAACACACAGAATAATGGGCTTGATAGTATTCCTTTCCATGGAAAAGTTTCAATATTCTAGATGCTTCTATTACTTTGTGATTGATGTACAGCCCAAAAACCATTGAATAAGTTTTGTTTTGTGAGTGTGTGTTGGGAAAAGGTGTCTTTATGTGATGTGGTTGCTGGTTTGAGATATTTTATGAGATTTCAGTGGTTAGTTTTTCGCTCCCAATCATACAAGCACAGCCTTTTCCATAAGATAAAAGAATCATATATGCTATTCACCTTGTCGAATTGTTGATCACTTGGAAAAGTTTTTAATGGTGGAGTACGGCTAGTTATTTTAATCTTTAAGCATTCTGGATTCTGAAGCTCTGTTTTTATGTGATTGCAAATAATTGTAATATTAATGTAATTGTGTTATGCTTTCCAGCCTCTATTTTTACCATTTTAAAGTCCTATATTTTTTCCTGTATATTTCTCGAATTTGGCTGCAGAGCTGGAATTAAAGGCTACTACTGCTTTTGAAAATTCTCAATCACGGAGCAGATCTTTTTATGGTGCTGATAATTCTTCATATGGTGGAAATTATCAGGTTTGTATCTTTATTCTTCAACATTTTCTTTTTGGGGAAAACATTATCTTGCCGCAATTGATTTTGTTTTTAATTTTTTATCACTTGTTTATTAGGAGTCAGCACCCGCACAAGTGCAGCAAAGTGTTCCTGGAACTGCATATAATGAAAACTATCAACAACAGTATGATACTTCATATGGAAGAGGGTATACAGTTCCCGCTCCATATCAGCAACCTCAACAGCCTAATTTATTTGTTCCGTCACAGACCCATCAGGTTCCTCAGGTATGCGATATTACTTATAGTTAGAAGGAACAGCTGTAGCCCAATGGAGAATTGTAGATTTATTTATCAAATCTCCAGTTTGTGTGATGATAAAGTAATAAACAATCACTTGTAGATTTGTGAAGAAGCAATTTATGCGCCTCAATGAAATTTATATGAAAATATATTAATCTGCTACAAGATTTTTCAATTGAGTGATATCTTTTCTTTATATGTATATTTATTTCCCTGAAACACCTAATCTTTGGCCAGATTAGTTTTGAAATGCCGAAAGAGAAAATTATTCAGTTTGTGAATGTTGCCAAACAGAATCTGAACACAACACATTTGATCAGAAGTACATACTGATTTTCCTTGTAAGCTGTTTCTTTCCCAAATGGGTAGTGAATTGCACAAAAAATGGTATATTCAGCGTCATTGTTTTTCACGAGTAGAGTAGACTGCCTGTGCATTATTACACTCTGGACTTTGAACTGCATGATAGCTAGAGTTCTTTATTTTTTCTTTTAATAATATTTTTTTTTTCTATTGCTTTTTATTCCAAATTGTCTTCTTTCCTGCAGCCAAACTTCTCTCCTGCTGCCGTCACACAGCCTCCTTTGAGATCTTTTGATCCTCAGACTCCTCCTACTCTAAAAAATGCAGCGCAATATCAGCAGCCCACCTTGGGTTCTCAATTGTATTCTGTCAGTTTATTTCTTTCTTTCTTTCTAATTTTCATGTCTTTCAATATCATCAAATTATTGTGTCTGGCTGCTAGAAGATTTATACATGGCCTTTCTGTGTTTCAGACACCTAGCAATCCACCTTACCAACCTCCAAGCCCTGTTCATGGCCAGAAATTACCGCATGTTGTGGCACCGACCCCTCATTCAAGGGGATTCATGCCAGTTCCTACTCCCAGCGCCGTCCAAAGACCTGGTGTGGGATCAATGCAACCACCTGTCAGGAATCCTCAGGCAGGATCTGTACAACCGACTACATCGCCAGCAGCTCCACCTCCTACAGTGCAGACAGCAGATACTTCAAATGTTCCTGGTAAGTTGTTTACAGTTGTATTTGTTTTTCTGATGAAGTGGATTTTCTTCCTATGGTAACTCTCTGGTGTTCCCATTTGACTTTTGCTTGCTTTGGCTGTGTCTGCCAGTGCACCAAAGGCCTGTTGTAACCACGTTGACAAGGCTTTTTAATGAGACATCAGAAGCACTAGGAGGTTCACGTGCAAATCCAGCTAAGAAGCGTGAGATAGAAGACAACTCCAAGAAACTCGGTGGGTTGTTTGCCAAATTGAACAGCGGGGACATCTCTAAAAATGCTTCTGATAAGCTGCTTCAGCTATGTCAGGCATTAGACAACGGTGATTTTGGTACTGCCTTGCAAATTCAGGTAAAGCAATTTGAAAGTTGAAGTACAGACAAAAATTTGTTGCTAAAAGCTATCATATTTACATTCTAGCTGTCATTGTCTTATGCTGCAGGTGCTTCTCACTACCACGGAGTGGGATGAATGCCAGTCCTGGTTAGGCTCACTCAAGCGAATGATCAAAACAAGGCAGAGTGTGAGACTAAGTTAAGAAGATGCAGATCCTCTCTGATTTTGGAAAATTTTATGGGATCTGCTGCTTACGGTGCTAACCATTTCATCAATGGACACAAGAGTCAAGACCACCTCTAGATTTTGCAGATGCTGGGTTTTCGTTCTTTGCTCTTCCACAATTTCTTGCAATGCCCGCTGCTTTCGTATCTATTTTATTGTTAAAAGCAGATAGTAAAGGTAGCTTTTGGTACATGATCAGAAAAGCTTTAGCAGATTGTTTTTCATCCATTCTGTGTAAGATGGAGGAGAGTCTTCTTTTTGGTTTGGCCCCTTTCAGAAATTCCTAGATGGTTTTTCCCCCCACACCCCTGTTAGGTTGCTGAAAGTTGTGTCAATGATGATGTCAGCGTCACCTTTATAGATTAATTGTTTTCTTTTTAAATTTGTACTGCCATAGTCATATGATTATTATTGATTGACCCTCAAAGGATTGAATAATGTAACCCCTGTTTCTATGTTTTCTTTTCCTCTTGAGCTTTTCATGGTTATGGAGTGTTTAGAGGCTGGAATGAATATCTGTTTGCCAGTTCATGGTGTCCGAAAAGCCTAGACTGATGGAAAAGCTGACTGGGTTAACAGTTTAACAAATGTTGGAAGGAAAGTCTGCTTTTGGTGCCATAAACCCATTGTTGATTTAAAATACGGATAAAGCGAGGGCACTGGAAAGTCTACCTGCATGATGCCCCGTCTTGGGTTTACCGTTGCCGTCGACAATTATGTATCCGTTTAATCTAGAAAGCCACATCAACAAGTGTGTCACTAAGATTTTTATTTATTTATTTTTCCTTTTCAAATTATAAACGTATGAATTATTACAGAAAAGGATGAGTAGAAAGAGAGTGAGTTTCATATATATTATATGCTCATACTCTGTTATGTTTTCCCTCTAGAGGAACTTTAATTTTAGAGGACTTAAATTCTGCCTTGAATTTTATTTTTTTCACTTTATTCTTTAATTATGATTTGGTCATATCACAGTAACTTGCAACTTTCTTATTAATTCATGGATTATATGAGCTAGAGTGGATTTGTACAGTTACATTTAGCCGAATGATGATTTCCAGACTCCAGTTCTAAATGGAAGGGAAACTGGCAAAAATCTGTAAACGATTTAGGGCCCGTTAAGAGTGATTTATAAGTAGTTTTTTACTTGTGATTTACAAAATATGAGATGAGTATGTAAAAAGAGTTTGTTTTGACTTATGTAAAACATGTTTACAAGTGATGGCAAAGGCATTATATTCATCGGATTCTAGTTACTGAGTGGGGTGCATGTAGGTGTGGGTGCAGGTGCCCATGCACAACGTTGTTCTTCAGACTTTGTCGGCCAAAAAAAAAATACAAATTCCAGAGAAAATGATAATTGCAGACTTAGTGAAGGCTTTGATGACAAGTAAATACCTTTAATTATTATAATGTTATGGACGAATGATTGTCTTTATTTGCAATTTAAAATTGCCCATATCACCAAAATGAAGAAACTGGTCAATAAAATTATAGAAGATCACTGATGAATTTTTTAAAAAGAAATAGCTTCAATAAAATTTGTCTGATTAATAATAAAAACATAGGGTGCAAAACTCGAGAGTGATATGGATTCACATTACAAGATCTTTGAAAGTGGATTGAATTCATAATTTGAAGAGAAAAAGATGCCATTTTGAGGTACAGACACAAAGAAAGTGGCTCTCCATGTAATTAGTGCCTTTTGACCTTATTTTCTTGGCTTTGCCAATAAAAGCAAACCAAAAAAAAAAATCCTTCTGTTCCATAGTTGTCCTTCTCCTCCCAAAATATGAATATACTGTGGCTTCTTTCAATTAAAAAAAAAAAAATCTTGTTTCATGTAGTGATGCGAATGGCCTTCCCAAATGTGATTTTTAGTGCATCCCTAATGTCCTAATAATCCTTAGTTGTGGAATTCATCTCTGTCCGAAGATATTTCATTTTTTATGCATGTTAATAGTGAGAGTGGTCTTCACTTAAAGAAAAAAATTTTGACTTAATCACTCTCACTTTATTTAAATACTCCCTCCGCTCCACAATATAAGAAGTTGAGTAATTAATAATAAGTTTCCGCTTTTAATTCTTGTTATAGGGAAAAATGTAGGAGAGATGGAAGAAAATTTTTCAATACATTTTTAAAAAGGATAAAATAGGTAATTTTTAACAATTTGAAACAAATTTAATGGTTTAACTAGCATTCTCTTTGTTATGAGAAAACTTAACTAACTTTTTATATCTTGAACCAAAGGGAGTACTACATGTTGTATGAATCTAAATTCTGTCAAAATTTCTTTATATTGTCATTTTCTCAAAATCCCATCTCCACCTTTAAATAAGAAGTGGATAATTCAGATTTAAATAAGGATAATTTTAAAAATTATCAAATCTAAGTCATTCTTTTTTGCAGATGAGATTACGAGAGGAAAGGGGAAAACAGAGATTCTGAGAGGATTCTGATCCCTCCATAGCTAGTGTGATTTCATTGCAGTATGCTGCCTAGTGCACATAAGGCTTCAAAAATTCAAAGGAAGAGTGAGATGCATGAACAAGAGGAACGAAGGAAAAGGAAGTTTCTCCAATGGCTGAAAAGCCGTAATCCGCGGAAAGGAAAGGGAATATAGAAATGCTCGCTTACTGATACACAGTAAAAGACACTTTTTCTTCTTTCAGTTTCTGTTTCAGTTAGAAAAAACGACGCCACGTTGGACATCCATCCTCTTCTTGTTTGTCTTCTTTTTCCTCGATGCTTGTTTCCACTTTGTCTGTACCAAACCTACTTTTGGTTTCCACCAATCACCCCTTCTCTCCCTGTCAAATCCCTTTCAAACTTAAATTTCGGACTCACTATGAAATAAGTCAATAACCTCTGAAGAAAAAAAGAGATTCTTTTCCACTAAGAAGGTTAGCTCCTCCAACAGCTGGAGATGTAACATTGTCATGTTATTTGTTTTATTCACTGTTGTGTTAATCTGTAATAAGGATATCACTCAGTTTGAATTTAACAGAAAAGACTAATATATCATAATATAATAAATTAAAATTTGAATTTCTGTTAAGACAGATGCTCACATTTAATACTTGATAACGCTTAGAATAAAATTGCTTCCGATAGAAAGATACACGTGTCTAGTAGAAAAAAAATTGTAAGAAGAATAAATGTTGGTTTTGAATTATTCAAAAGTGCCATCCAAATTATGTTTCCCTCTCATCAAACGAATCAGATGGGAAGGAGTGCTTCTATAAATGTAATTTTAAGTAATTGTTTCATAAATTCTGTATATGTCTATTTATATTTTATATAAATGGTGCATCAAACTTGAAAGTAACATGAAGAAATTAATAATATTTCTTTATCTTTTGAGTTGTTGTGTGATTAATAAGAATATGAATTAAAATAAACATAAACAAGTTTAGGATAATTAATGTGTTCTCTCATTTGTGGCCTTTTAGATTTGTACCACGAGGCGAGGTATGAGGACTGTTATGGTTATATTAAGTGTTTATAAGCATATTTAATTATTCATGTAAGGCGAAACAAAATTATTCTCACATACATAAATTGTATTTCGTAAGTTATGATTGAAAAGTTATTTTTAAAGTATCTCGTTGTCATTCCAAATAAGCACAACCGATACAATTTTTGAGTCAATAGACATATGTTTAATTATGATATAATCTTTTTTTTTTTTTGCTAAAACATATGTATCTTCCTATTAGAGGCAATCCTATTTGAGGCACTATTGGGCACTAAATGTGAGCACCTCTCTCAGTAGGGATTTGAACCTTGGTTCGTCACATTGTGGGAGACTAGCCCCTTCTGTTAGACCCAACCCTGTTGGTTATAATATACTTATTTCAATCCTATTTATGAGATTTACCTAACATACTTTAATAAAAAGCCATGCGCAGATTTAATGAAATATTATGACATTCTCAAAAATCTCGTCTTTTTCACTCTTAACTTAGAGTAATGACTATTTTATAGGGATATTTTTCTTAGTGAGAATTTGAATCTTAATTCATTACGCCGTGAAGAATTAGCTTTTTCTATTAAACTCAATCTTGTTGGTAAACAGTGACTTTTTGTCTTCCTTATATCTCTCCACCAAATAAATGAGTTGTTTTGGAAGAATGAAAAAATTAAATTGACATTTAATTAGCTTTACCTCATTTTTCTTAAATTTTGAAAGAAAATAATAGGCTTATAGAGAGTATTTTTAATTAACTTCTAACCAAATTACTCCATTTAAATATAATTAAGAATATTCTTCCGATCTTAAATATAAGATCCTTTTTGTAGTGTAATTTACACTATAAAAAGGATCTTATATTTAGAATTAGAAAAGCATTAAACAATATCACATTTGTTTATGCGACAACTGAAACTTCTTGAAGTTCTTCTTTCTTTTCCTATTATCCTGTTGAATTTGTTTCCCACAATCAAACGAGTTCATATAAAGCTCTTAAGCATGTGTTTCGTTTACTTTAAAAACATTTTAAAAAAATATTTTTATATACATCAAGATAAAATCGTTCAACATACCTACTTACTCATATGTCATTAAATTATTTTTAAAATTATAATTTGACTTTCATACAAACAAACCAAAAAGTTTTTGGGGTTTGCGCTGGATTGTGCTTTATTAATTAATTAATTAATTAATTAATTATTAGATTATGAATGCTAAAAGCATGATGGGATTGGAAGATGTATTATTCCACTTTGGGGCAATTAATTAACAAGGAAAGAGCATATTTAGGCGCATTCATTGGATTTTCGTGTGGTGTCTTGTCATGTCAAGATTGTTTACTTTTAATATTAATCGATTGATTAATTTAATATTCTGAAGGTGAAGTGTAGACTATTGCTAATCCTGCCCTGTTTTGGTAGATGTTAAATGTTTTAATAATAAGATTAATAGAACAAGTTGCCCATAATTTGGCCAATTCCATTACACCACTATTAGCACAATGAAGGTTGATTCAAGGTCAATAGTTTAGTTATAGTTGAAAAGGATCGATTTAATTATGTCTAATGTAATGTTGTCTAATTAAAATATATGAAGATATTTATATATAGACTTAATTAATCTACAAATCCTTGTAATTTCAATCAATTTTAAATCAGGTCCTTATAGTTTTTGTTTTTATTTTTATTAGGTCCTTATTTTTTCACTTGTTTTTAATTAGGTCCTTGCATTTATTTTTCTTTTTACAAAGTCTTTATAATTTTCCTAAATTTTTAATCAGGTCCATGTTGTTTTAATTTTTATTTATTAATTAAATATAAACTTAATTAAATAGATTACTGAAATGTAAAATATTAATAATGAAATTAAATTAATATAAGTAATATAATTAAATAATTCAGGAAAATTTTTTAGAACAATTAATATTTTCTTGCTAGCAAAAAATAAAATTATTATAATAATTCATTATTTTTATAATATTATTGT